TTAGGAACTCGTAAATGTTATGGCCTAAACTTCAGAACTTATAAAATGACTGTCAAAATTTTAGCGTACAGTACGTATAGTACAGTACATGGCACATCACTAGTCATGGCATTTTGACGTATTATAGATGACATTAAGATCAGCTACGGCATCACCAAATGTCTGCACCTATAGTATTATGTTAAATTTCAAGTCCAAGGTATTAACCTAAATTTTATATATATAAATTCCAAACTTTGTTAACACTATAGAGTATTTAATATAACGAGAGGGGTTATAAAAGTGAGTTTAATTATTATTGAGCATTTTTAAGGTTATGAATTAAATTCTTATTTATCATCACGAAATACATTTTTACATAGATCTATATAGAATTTTTACATAGATTTATAAAAATTCTATTTAAATTATACAAATCCAATGTAGACTTATGTAGTTATAATTTCTAGATTTATATAAATATAAATAATTTTTCTATATAGAACTATATTTATATTAATATAAATAGAATTTTATATAAACTTTATATAAACTTTATATAAAAATAATATATGGAAATTATAACTATATAAGTCTATATTAGGTTTGTATACCTATATAGAAATTATATATAACATTTATATAAACTTATAGATCTATTTAGATTTTATAAAAATGCAGTTCCTGATGATAATGAATGTGATATTAATAGGGTAATACTAATCGTGGAAAATTTTGTTCAGAAATTATTTATTCATATGCATATTCTTCAACATCATAACGATACGTATAAACCTATAGATCGTATGAATTTATAAATCATATGACTTTACATAGTAATAACACGACTCTTAAAAATATAAAAATATAACTGTTAAATTTCTTAATACAGAAAGAATAAAATTGCTTATCAAAAAATATTATATGTCATAGTTTCCTTAATATTATATTTAAATTTAAGGAAGAAAGCTTTCATTATTTGATTAGTTACTATGTAAGGTATTAAAAATAGGTGATATGCTCTGATTCCAAATTCCACTTCCCTTCCATTCTAATTTTTCTCTCATTCCCTTCTGAATAGTAGATTCTTTAATTTTTATACCTTCTTCATCCAACTTTTTAAGTATTGGATTATAAATATTAGGTAGAGTTGGAGCCAATACTCCCTTATCATGAATTTCACCTAATTAAATCAATTTTAGAAAACAATAAAAATGCAAATTAGAATAAAATAAATTATATTTTTCACTTACCTCTGGCAATCATTTCAGTTGCTATTGCAACAGGTAATCCAACAGTTTTTGCCATTGCTGTATATGCTTCAGATGATCCATAAATTCCTTCGGATATTAATGATGATGTTCTAATTGTCTAAAAAATTATATATATATAAGAAACAATTTATTAAAGCAATAAATTACAAGCAATATTAATTTACCTTATTTCCGTTCTTTAGCTTTATTTCAAACTCATGATATAAAACTAACATATCTTTCTCTCCAGGATTATATTTAAGCTTATCTTGAAGCAATATACAAAATGTATCAAGTGGTGATAATGAACCAATTTTTGGTGGTTGTACTAAATTAGTAGTTGTTGTATGCTCGTCTTGTAATAGTGAAAGTCTTTATTTATAAAAATAATATATTAGATATATTTTGTTTATATTTATTAAATATGAATAATAATAATATCTTTACTTTGTTAAAGCATCAATAACTTTTTCCATCATATGGTGATTTTTTGGTAAACCTAATAATTCTTCAAGTCTATAAATTCTTGATTCCATTACCGGCTTTTTTTCAAGAGATGAATTAAAAAGTATGTAATCAAAGAAATCCGGCTATATAAATTTTTTAAGTAGTTATTATTAAAAACTAGTTAAATAATAAATAGTTATTAAAAAGGTTATTTATACAAACCCATGAATTATGATAAACATTTGAACGATCAGTCTCAAGTAATCCTAGTTTGTAAAAAGCATACATTAAGTCTGAAAAGCCCTAAAGAGAGATAAAAATTAACCTTAAGTAATTTAAAAATAAATCATAAAATAAAACTTTTTTAAACTTACTTTATATCTTAAAGTACCTCTAAACATTGTATCCATTGTTTCTAAAGGAGCCAAACCGTAAGTGTCTATATATGATAAAGAATTACGGTTTGCAAGACCTTCAAATTCATATTTTGAATCTATAGATACAGTATTAAAATGAGATTTTAATAGTTCACTACTCGGAATTTCTTGCCTCTATAAAAGTTAATAAAATTGTATAAAAAATAAAGTATTTTATAAACAAATAAAGATAATATTGCAATTTTATTATATACATTTCCATTCATCCAAAATCAAATTTAAAAAAAGCATGTAATAGAATTAAATGGCAAACCTGCTTTTAGTCTTCTCAACTTTATTTTTCCATTTCGTTAATGTTTGTTTATCGATCGTTATAAAAACTCTTAAGTAAAATATATTCAACGATTATACGTATAATAAGAGTAACCATTTATAGACATGTCTCTGCTACCTAATAAAGTAATGTAATGTTTTTGTACGTAAAATTTTAATATGCCCAAATATTACTTTTTATTTAGCAATGTTTATTATTTAGAATCTTTTGTTAAATCGAACTTTGTCCCTATTCGGAACTCTTAATGGATCCCGTCTTTATAGTCGAAAACTCTCGGTTTGTTTAATTACATATTATAAAATATAGTATAGGGCTAAGTTTTTACGATATTAGGCGTTTTTTTACAACTATTTAAAAAGGTACACCTTTTTGAAAATAGCTGTAAAAAAAATTTTATGTTGCTGAAATTTGTACCTGACAATCACGAGCTTTTTAAAAAAGTTAAAAATCTTCGTTAGCCAATTTTGGAAGTTTAAAAAAAGCTAGTGATTGTCTGTTATATCACATTTATGAGACAGTGCTATGAATTAATTTACTAATATTAAAAAAAAAAAAAAAAAATTTACTAATATCACCTATATTACATTTTAACCTTCTGTCCTTTATTAATAATAAAAATTCCATCTATATAGGTCGATAGAATCAACAAAAGACCTAGTTCTAATGTTGCTATTACAAAAAAGAAAAAAATTTTTTTACTTGGTAGTGGCTTTGTTTCTAGACCTTTGGTAGATTATTTGGCAAGGCAAAAAGATTTTAAATTAATTATCGGTAAGTGGTTTATTTTTAAAAATATGTATTATTAAAATTAAGAATTCTGAATTTAATATTTTTATTTTAATATATATATATTTTTAGCAAGTAATTCAAAAGCTGAGGCTAATTCTCTAACAAGAAAACATGAGGGAATAGATGTTATTGACTTGGATGTTCAAGATCAAGAAAATTTGGGTAATTTAGTTCAGGGTTCAGATGTTGTAGTCAGGTAACTTTAATTTTTTTGTAATAATAGTTTTATAATTGAAATATTTGTATGCTTATATAAGTTTTGTTTGTAGCCTTATTCCTGCAAATTTACATCATATAGTGGCAAAGGTTTGTGTAAAGCACAAAAAAAACATGGTAACGGCTAGCTATATATCTCCCGAAATGAAATTGTTACATAAAAGGTAGTGTATTTTTTTTTTTATTTTCTTTAATTATATTAATTAATACATATATTTGATACTTAAAATATATTATTTATAAGCGCCGAACAAGCTGGAATAATTATCCTCAATGAAATAGGTGTAGATCCAGGAATTGATCATTTATCTGCAATGAAAATTATTGATGAAGTGAAAGCGGAAGGTGGTCAAGTATGTTATAATAATTATTACTCATCTTTAAATTATAATTAAAATTATTAATTATTAATTTATTAATTTAATTTTTTAATTAAATTTAATTTTTAATTTAATTTTTTAATTAAATTTAATTTTTATTTTTATTTTTTATTTATA